TATTCTGCGTTTAGTACAGTGGGTTTTGTGTACCTCAAAAACCATGGCATCACCTTGGATAAGGTAAATGCTTTATTGAATTGGTCATGTGCCATTTATTGTTCGTTCCAAACTCTTAAGTTCTGCATATTTTTTGATGCCGGTATAGGTCTTGTAACGTTAATTAATAGGTAATATATGCAATCCTTCTTTCCCGCCAATATAGATAGGTGCGCGTTATTGGAGCTAATATCAATGCTGTTATTTTCAACCATTAGAGCAGCAAAAACATGCAAATACTCAAAAGCATTAAATCACGTATTGTAACATGATACTACTTAAAATTATCGAAAATGTTTTTTTGTAACATGATACCATGTATTTCCATAATCTTTTTTTTAYTTCWCGAGGTGGATCAAGTATTATCAAAGACTGACTCCTTCTTTGGTCTYAGTAAAGACATCAAGTCACGTTATCGTATTAATCTGAAAGGCGACTCGCCTTATGGATGGGATGAGCTGGARAGACAAACGTATGTTATTTTGCACGTTTTTAAATGTGACTGTTGTAACCCTTGGGTAAATATTTGTCTTGAGTCATCTTAGTTGATTCAATACTAAATTGGGCGTACAAACAGGAAACGCGTCACAAATGAGACAAAATGGGTCATCTGTCTGAGAGTCTGTGGGACACCAAGGAATGCCATTCAATTCCTTCCATTCATTTTTTCACTCATCTCTCTATCCATTGATTTATCCATCATTCAACAAATTCATAATTTTTGATTGAACGGGAGGGTTTCTTATTGGCTTTTGATATTGTTACATTGTGTTTGTGGCTTTTGTTTTATTTCATTGTTTTTACTGTTCAGTGTTAACCCAGAACGACCTCCAGATCTCAAGGAGTCTTTTGACATTGCATCTGCAGCTCTGGAAAACAAATCACTGGTAAGGCCAATTCATCAAAAACGAAAAAAGAAATTCTATCTGGTAGTGCGCGCTAAAGGAAGAATTAGAAGTGCGAATGGTTGCATTTTGAGCGCAGGCGTTACACTTCTCAGTCAGTCAAATTGCGCATAGTATCAGTTCCATTTCGATGGTGAACTTTATTTTTCCTTGGCATATCTTTCTGTTTTCTTATTGACAGTCACTGTATCTGTCTATTTGTACAGATTTGGCCAGATGATGTGCTGCCCAACTTCAAGCATACCATCGTTGATTTCCACATGACCTGTCAGACTTTAGGGATGAGAGTGCTTGAAATCTTAGCGATTGGATTAAATCAGGTAATCCCGATTGTTCATTGATGAATTGGCGATGTCACTTTAAAAAAAAGGCATAAAAAATGTTCAAAGACAAAAAAAAAACGCTCTTTTATTTTCAAGGAACCTGATGTTTTTACAAGAACTTATAAATTGATGGGAAAGCGAGGAGGGGGAACACAGCTCCGTTTTAACTATTTCCCCAGAATATCTAATAATATCCAAGTTAAACCTAATCAAATACGCTTTGGAGAGCATACTGACTACGGAGCAATTACTCTCCTTTTTCAAGACAACGCTGGCGGACTTGAGGTATGCAAAGGCAAACAGTGAATCAAAATATTTACGTCTGTTAGTATATTTGAGTCGGATTTTATAATATCTTTTTCTACAATTCATAACTGACAGGTGGGTACAGTAGACGGTAAATATGTACCAGCCACACCCATCCCTGGTACAATACTGGTTATTACTGGAGAGTTGATGCAAAGATGGACATCAGACAAACTAAAGCCAACCGTAAGTCATAGCACCAAATATATTTAGCCTGCCTAGAGGCCCTAACTGATAGATTGGAATATGGAAATGTAAGGAAGTACAATTACCAGTTTTCAAATGATTTCTTGTAAGAAAGTGTCTTTCCCATCTACTCTTCCCCTCCCTTCTGGCTTCTTTTCCATTATTTGGATGGATGGATGGATAATTACTTTTTTTTCACCATGATTGCAGCCTCACCGTGTTGTNAAATCAGATTTTTTTAAATCAGATCTTTTTTCAACAATACTTCACGGGTCACTGATCATATCATATCGAAATTTCAGGGCATGGATTTCTTTAAACAAGCTATCAAATTCATTTCAATACCTAAAACTACCCTAACTTATCGAGTTGTGGACTGTAGAGCTACCTCCTTATATTGTGTGAAAACTGACTGAACGTTGATCAAAAGCGCGCAAGATGACATATGTCAGCGGCTTCAGGCGCTGGAGAGCATAATTTTTATTGAGGGGGGAGGGGGGGGGGCTAAATCGGGACGGGACATCTTTCGAGAAAAAAAAAACGCTATGATTTTTTTCTATTGACAGATAGAAGATGTACTTTCCAAGAGTGATGACTTTTTTAGTTTGAATAAAAACGTAAAAATAAGATACCAGAAAAAGCAAGGCGATTCTCACTATGGATGGGATCAAATGGAAAGAGAAAGGTACTTCATAATGTTGTCAATTATTACATGTTCCATCTTCTGTATCATAATGCCTGCATGGGAGTGTCCAGCTTTATAAATCTAGACTTCTTCATGAAAAAAAAATGATACCTACACTTCAGGTGCTGGGCTCATTTGTAGTATAGCTGTTTCCAGTGTTGGAACACAGAACCTTTGAAAACAGTTGTATATATTTGTCGTACAAAATGTTWTTTTCTATTTATTTGCAGAACAAATCTAGACAGGCCAGCAGATCTAAAGGAATCCTTTGATTTTGCAGTACCAGATAGTAAAGAYGCGGTAATATTTTCTACAGCGAACTTATTTTATAGTCGATTTGTATAGTTACATTATGTAATTTCATTTCAGATTTGGCCAGATGATGAAGTGGCACCAAATTTCAAAACAACTTTGTCAAGTTTCAGATTGAAATTTTGTCATCTTGGAATGCGAGTCCTGTCGGCCATTGGCATTGGACTGAAAAAGGTACATATACAATGGTAATTAATTCTATTTTTTTAAGACAAAAAGAGTGATATCGGCTTTAAAAATCCAAGACTTTTCTGAGATGTTTATAGCGAGTCTCCAATACCTCGGACAGAAAAGAATTTATAACAGGAATCGCATTTGAGTTTCTTTGGCACCATTTCATTTTTGGATCAAGCTCTGATTAAAGTGTTTTTTTCTTTTATTCAAGGATCCTGATTTATTTCTTCCATTTTATAAACTTGTTGGSACAAAAGATAATCATTCTCGGCTTCGTATCAACTACTACCCAAAGATAACTGAYAAYMTTGTTATCAAACCTGGACAAATTCGCTGTGGAGAGCACACTGATTATGGTGGTATTACCCTCTTAATACAGGATGAAGCAGGGGGCCTTGAAGTAAGTTTATTGCATGCATTTTCCAGGAATTGAACGATTATTGTACACATTTTTGCAGGAATTTATTTCCAKGAGGTTATTGCATACAATTTTCCAGAATTTATGTTCAATGTGTTGAATTATGATTTGTTTGTATAGGTGGGTACAGTAGAAGGCAAATATGTACCAGCCACACCCATCCCAGGGACGRTACTCATAAACATTGGCGATTTGATGCAAAGATGGACGTCAGACAAACTTAAGTCTACTGTAAGTAATACGCTCTAGAGCAGTGATTTCGTTTTTTACGCACATTGATCACAATAGAAACAATAGAAAACATAGTATTCAACCTAATAGTATTGAGAAAAACTGCGCGGACATGACGTCACAAATGTTAGACCCCCCGCCTGCAGTCGGACAAACATTGGGATCACTACAAGAGAAATGTAAGCTYATGTGGAATTTACGCGCGCGTCATTAAATTCCTTCCAAAATGCTGTAGTTTTTACAGAAAATGACGATTTTTTTCAAACATCCAATTTTTTTTCCCAATCGATCTGTTTTGCTCCAATGTTACTATTCCTTGTATATATCATTTTTGTAAAAGTATGAAAGTAGCACTAGCAGGATATTCAGTTYATTTTAGTAGTCCTACCAAGATTTCCGTCCGCACTAGATTTCCGGAAAACCCCGATAGAATGTCGTTGGTTCGAATCCGCGCGATCCTGGTCGGAATTCGGGATACCTGTGTATGTTTTTGCTTTATAATGCACGTCTAAACATAATCAGCGTGCCATAAAAACACCTTATACTACTTATACTAATATCTTATCCCCAACAGCCACACCGTGTTCTCTACTAATACTAATATCTTATCCCCAATAGCCACACCGTGTTCTCATTCCTGAGGATGAAATCAAGAGAGGAAAGCCACGTCGTTCGATAGTGTTGTTCTTTGATCCTGACAGAGAAGCATTGATAACATGCTTGGATGGCTCCAACAAATACCCGCCTGTTATATCGGACGTCTACGTAATGGATAGACTAAAAAAAACTTACGAATTTTAAGTCCTGACAGGTACAGAGAAATGTAGTTAAAACATGATTGCTGAATCTATTCATCACCATCATTTACGTTGTCAGCTTGTTCATCGTTGTTGTCATCGTTGTTACCATCACTGTCACTGCCAGTACCACGCGGGCTGCTTATTAGAGTGCTTTGTGATCCCGTTTTCATGGTGACCAACAAATAAGATCCTCTCATAACGACATCAGACTTTTTCTTAGTTCACAAGCAATGTACATTATTGTGTCATTGAAAATATATTCCGCTAAAAAATACATTTATTAAAACGAAATTAAGCTGGGATAATTAAATGAAAAGCATGCAATAAATGTGATTTTCAGTTGTAAATCTGCGTAAATTTCTCTCAGCTATCATTTTGACTCTTCCATAAGTATAAACTAGAGCAAGACGAAATGGCAGTCGCGGAGCAGGAAGATATTTTAAAACTAGTAGCAGTCTGTTCTGGTTTGGATCCATCTGTCCTTTGCTCGGCACGGTCTTATCTGCATTCTGACCAGGTCTGTGTTTCAAATGAAGATGCTAAAGAAAACAAAACAATTCTGAAAAATGAACAATTGAACATCGAGGAGTTTATACTATCAGTGTGTTGAAAAGTAGACCCGTCAGTTTTTGTTCTAGCTCTACAAGGTCTTTTCGGCATCCCTAAAATGAGGACTATTACTAGCCTACTTCCCTTCCGTTTCTTCGCTCCTTCCCCAACTAGCTAGGAACGCCTGCACTCAAGCTATACAGAAGATCGACAAGATTGGTCGGGGTGACCTACGTAGCACGCAGTTGATGTAATGTATTCATAAAATGTATTCATAAAATGTATTGTATTCCATTGTTTCTCGTTCTATTGTATTATGTGTTTTGTATTATATATTTATGAATATATTACATCAACTGAGTGCTACGTAGATTCTCCCAAGATTGGTCAGGCTGTAATCCAAACCATTGCTTTTCCTCCTTTTGTTCGTAAAACTGGTATCTAGAAAAGATGACGAATCACATACCCATCGTAGATTTTAGTGCATTTAGCATCGACAAAGAACCAAGACCGGACGTCAATAGCGCTGAAGTACAGCAGTTGGCCAAAGAGATTTATTCTGCGTTTAGTACAGTGGGTTTTGTGTACCTCAAAAACCATGGGATCTCTGCTCAAGAGGTGAGGATTAAACCGATATTCCGATATTTCCGCAATTGATGGTTTTCAACTATTCCAATGAGAGTGAGCAAAACAAAAAGGTCCACCAGTCACGGTGGTGGTTTTCTTTTGTCAGGTCCACCAGCAATGGCTGACGTCTTTTCTTCAACTGTCTCTCCTGGGAATGGTTGAAAACCAAGAATTGAGCCAAAAGCGATTTTAAGTCCGAGCACCGATCTTGTGAGCCTTGGAAATTCTTGGCGAGCCTCGCGATTTCTTAGACACCATAAGAATAGATGAGGTGACGGTTTTGTCCGCCATTTTGGACCGGTAGGCATAGTGTCGCAAAATAACAAGGAATGACCGGGAAATCGATGTCAAATAATTCTCGCTGAATTCAAATTCAGAAAGAATTATCATTTGCAAACGTTAGATACTGCAAAAAGGAGTTAACTGGCCAAATTTGAAAGGCGTACTTGATCTAGAGAGCGAGTAAACTCATTTTTAGTTCTCCATACATTTCTTTGTAATTTCAATACATTTCGTTAT